TGTGACCATAAATGTCAGAATATTCTGTTCATTACGCGGTAACGATCAATTACCAACTCGCGGATCAGTTGGTTACCTAAATTATAAATCGAGATAAGCTGATAGAGTGGTTTTATTCAGTAAGACACTTTGGGTCGTGACTCTAGTGTGGCAACATTACTCTGTAGTACCACAAATGTCACATTCGGTAGGTCAAAAAATGTCATCCACCCAAGGGTTTTGGGTAGGACCATTCATTTCGATGGCATCATGATCAACATCACTGACACCATGACATTAGTTTTCAACACCGATGCTTCGCTGCCTTACACCCATGATTCAGTTAGAAGATTTATTACGAAGATAATAATTAAGGTGAACAGGAATGGGCCTTAGTGCTAGCTTATTGCAATTATTTCGGCGTGCCTACAACTTCAGATACTCATTCAGACAATCTGGATAGCAACTGACAACAAGAACGCCATTGATGTCGATTAGCAGTCACATCATGCAGTGTCTCCAATCAGGAGCAGTGGGGATCTTCCGGACCCTATTCTAGAAGGGATTAGCACCGATAGCACCCAAGCGTTTCTTAATTTCTTTCATACCTCTCTGCCACGTCAAGGATTGACCATCTCTCTGCACATGCCACGCAAAAAATGGGAGGAAAACAACACGCCCTTCGACAAACAATGGTTCGGTTTGTGCAATATATGGTCTAGTTAACGCAGCCTCCCGTGCTGGACACATAGAAGTCCCTGTCGCACAACCGGAAACTCGCTTTCTAATTACCTCGTTGTGGTTGCTTCGTCACCAATCCACACGAACTATGGTTCTGAGGCAACGGTTGTCGGACACCTGAAGATATCTCGGTTCCGCTGCTCGAACAAGCCAAGTATCGCAACCATATAACAAAATAGCCTGTTCTGTAACATGTTAAACACGCCGCTTGAGATTCAGGGATATACCGACTTGATATCATCGGTGTCTCAAATCAGCAGACGCAACCCGAGCTTTGCAGACTCGTGCATTGGCCTCAGGTCAATCAGACAATTAGAACTAATACAACTTCCAAAATACGTAAAATGCCCCACAACTTCTAGTGCCCCTGGGTTGTAAGTCGCGTGTGTAGCGACTGCATGTCCAGGAGCATGACCTCACACTTTGTGGGTAAAAAGTGTATACCAAGGGACGGGATGACTTTGTTTATTCCATCCAAAAACACCGGCGCCTTCTACTCTTCTAAGGAGAGAACAATATCATCTGCATATTCCGATTCGACAGGGATTTTGTCAGTGTCTATATAAACACCGGGGTTTTGGAGACCTTCCAACGTTTGTCTCGTTATTTCATCGATCATGAATTTGAATAAGAATGGAGAGAGTTGGAATCCCTGTGAATACCGCTTTGTATGCAGAAGCTTTTGTAGAGGTTACCGCGTTCCATTACATGTCCGGATGTCTGGAAATTCAAAGAACGTATAATATTCACAAACTTCCAGAGCATTGCTTGATGGACGAGGGTAACAAGGAGAACAGACGAGTGAACCCAGTCGAATGCGTCTTGGAAATCCAAGGATATTAAAACTGCGGGTCGTTTGTACGTATGGCATTTTTTAGAACCTGGTGGAGTGTAAAGATTTGGTCAACACAAAATCTACCAGGCCGGAATCCTACTTGCTGCTCTGGAGCCGATGTTTCAAGAGACACCATAATTCAAAGAAGCAGAAGTCCATTACGTCCCAGGTCACGGTGATTCTCCAGACTCACTAAGAGCCTTTTTTCGAAATTGGTCGCTGTTAACGACTCCCCCGTTTGCCTGAGACGGTCTCAGCTCAGTGCTGACTGAGGACTTTACCCCGATTTTGAACAGGTGAGAGGTCACCCGGACCGGAAGCGCTGTGGCATATGAGAGAACATATGTAGTCATAAATCTTCGAGGCCATAGGGGGTTCCACGTTCACCGTCCAGGGTTTTACGTTAACTGTTGGACACAGACGAGTGGCAGCTTATGGCCACGATAGCTGCTGTTGGAACTGTTCGGCCCACGGGTTGAGGCGTTCTGCTTTACTAAAACTGGTCACTTCCTTCCGATCCTTGATGGTTTCGCTCACAGATAGTTTCCGGGGACCAGTTGCACGGATCAAATGAAATAATCTTCGGGCATTCCCGGCTTTCCGTTTCGCTAGATTTCAGTGTCCACCAGACTTCACGAATAGCTCGCAAGCTCACTTTCACTTGACGTCCGATAATTCGTCGGGCCAAGTTGTATTCCGGACCAGCTGTGAGATTACTCCGAGATTTGGCCAATCGGTCCTATATCCAGTGCTTGTGTGCATCGCGTACTTGTCGTGTGGTGTTGTAGCTGCAACAGTTTCGTTCATTAAAGATGTGGGAAGGCAGGTAGATAGCTACGCATTGGAGATAGTGGGTGAGCAACACAGTGACGGGATTTTCCATTAAAGAGATTTGGAGGAGAGCTGTGCAGTGAAGTCGACATCTAGGATGCGTAAGTAACGTTGTTTCCACAGCTGGGCCTTCTCTGACATGCATGTCATCATGGGCAGCACGACAACAGTGTTCAACACTGATGCTTCGCTCTCGTACATGTATGTGACCATTGATGTTTCCAGTCTCCGGGTATCCATCCAGGGACACGGGAATGACCAACGCAGCGGATTTTGCTGGTAATATCTTTCACATCTCTTTTACAAGCCATTCCTCGGCCTCCACGAGCTCGTTTATACCGTTCGCGTGGATGTTCACAAAGATCCTTTTGAAGAAGCTGTTCAATTGACATTCGAAGTACGTGGCCAAGTCAGCGCAACCTACAGAGTGCAATCAGTTTATCTACCACTGGCGAGTTCTCTACACCACAAAAGATTCCACATAATTCAGTATTTTTGATCCGGTGTTCCCACAAGACTCCAGCAATGCTCTGAAGACAGCGACGCTCAAAAAGTGAAAATATTGACGTCCTCAGCAGGGGCCAGGTTTCTGACACATATAATAATAAGAAGCGTAATACGACATTGTAAACCCAACCATTGAAGAATGTGCTAATGTTACGCGTACGCCACATGTGCTGTGGGTTCACGAAAGCTTTCCTGGCTTTTCCAATCCGGATAGAAATATTATCTTTTGTGAGAGCACCGGGATCGATACAGCTGTTCAGGTGGACAAATTTTTCTGCTAGCTCAATCAGCTCATCCGCAAGCATAAGTTTAAGTTTTGGGGCCATTCAGTTTTACTGAAGCAGCCTACAATTTACTGGGGTGATGCACATGCAAAAACATGAGGCAGAATTGCTTCGATCGTTCAATGTTGTCCGCATTACGACGTCGTCCGATCCAACAAAAGCTGTGTCGTCTGCATACACGATATTTGTATGCGAACGCCCTAAGCGAAGTTCACACGTCCGCGGGAGCTGGCATGCAGGCCTTATGGAAGGTCCTGAACTTATGGTGGACACCATTGCTCCTCAGACATTACTGTAGTGCCTGGCAGTCCATGTGGTCAAGGGCGACTCTCAAGGCAAGGAAGGCAACGATTGCTGGAAGCAGTATCGCTATTCCGGAATCTGAGGGAGGGTAAAAGTGTGATTAACTCGTCCTCTTGCAGGGCAGAACCCAGCTTGGTTTCCACGGATCTGTCTCCCTCTGTGTTCGTTTTACATTCGAAGGATAAGACGAGACAGTACCTCCGATGCCACAGCCACCAGCCTGGTGCCTATGTGGTTTTCACATGGCGTTCTTTTTGAAGATAGGAATAACTGTCGAATTCCCCCATTTTATAGGTACTTTTTATTCACCCCATATCACTACAGCCAGCTTTGTTTAGATAGGTCCACAGGTCAAACTCACTTTCCTTGAAGTGGATTGAATACACACCATGCAGCCCTCGTGATCTCTCAAGTTCCGGCAAAGATAATTCGTACTTTATTTCTTCCGACGTGCTAGTGGGTTTATATTCCATTTGTCCATATGCAGTATCTCCAGAGAGTGTGTTGTAGGAGGTCAGCTAAGCTGAATTTCAGTCAGCGTTTTTGCGGGTGAATTAAGGGGCTGCCTTTTTCACTCATCGCTCGTATCATTTGAGAAAGGCACGGTTGTTTCCGGTAGAAGACGCCTTATTCATATCCAGAGCTTTCAATGTCCATCAGAGCCCCTTCTTCAGGCTTTTCATTATTCGTCGTTTGAGGGATTTGCATTAGTCATCGTACTTGTTTCCTGTTGATATGACTTTCCTGATATCAATGAGGACAATCAATCTCGACGGAATCCAGTGGTCATTTGATTCTGTCAGGAAAGTCGGATAGCCAGCGCACTGAACGCCGCTAACACAGCGCCTTTCACATTTTGCCATGATCTACGTGCTATATCAATGAGGACAATCAATCTCGACGGAATCCAGTGGTCATTTGATTCTGTCAGGAAAGTCGGATAGCCAGCGCACTGAACGCCGCTAACACAGCGCCTTTCACATTTTGCCATGCATCATCTACGTGCTTGCTACCGGCACGGTATCGATTTACCGTATAGATTTGTTGAGCTGTAAGCTGTAAGTCGATTTAAGCTAACATCGATACTGTTAAGCTATGGTAGTTTTTCAAACATGGTTCATATGCGTGCTTCTTGCCTGAAGGGGAAGGGACTGTCAAGTGTACACGCACCATGAAGTGATCGGATTCGAGTTGTGTACCGCAGAATGAATGACATTCTTGAACTTCGGCCCTCTATCTATGGCTGATGGCCACGTGATCCAAGTGAGCTCACGATGAATTTGCAGTTCGTGGCTGCCAGGTTATCCAATGCGATCGTTTAGTCTGAAGATTCATATTGGTCAGAAACGGTTCATGTTCAGCACAAAACTAGGAGAGTCACTGTCCAACATCTGTGCGATCAGCATCGACTTCAAATCGATCGCCCAGGTGAGTCCAAGGATCTCAAACAACCGACTAGTGCAATCCTATCGACCGCAAGTGTCAGTGCTTCTTGCTCGACAGATGAGTCCGGTTAGCTCTCAATGGAAAGTATCTTTCTCAGCGTCGGAACTGCACTCCGTTGGGGCATAAGCCGATACTATAAGCAGGCACCGCTTTTTATGCTGAGAGGCAGTGACCGTGTTGGAGCTGGATATGGAAAGACAACTGTTCACTGAGATCCAAACCAGCAAAGATCGAACAGCTCTGGGAACGAATGCAACTTCCACATCATACATATCACGGTTCATTCGTCTCTGAATAACCGGACAAACAAAGGGAGAAATGTGAATGAGGTAAGTTCGTCCTTGGCGTTCTGAGATGCACGACCACCCTTGGGTCTTCCATGCGTGTTTCGGAGGCATACATACATCGATTTTAGTGGGGTATAAGGTCTCAGCATCATTGCTTGTTTGACAAAGATTACGGAAAATAAAAGCTTCTATGTAGGAAGGATTTTGTGGATTTAGAAAGGTGTTATTTTCTTTATTGTTAATAGGCAGCGAGAAGCATAGGGCTCTCCGGTCAGATAACTGGCGGCCAAACGTCCCAGGGACGTTTGCTTGTGCGGTGGGAAGGGGTTGGGTAGGGACATCGATGGACGCAGCATTATTAGGGCAGATGAGATTTCCCGGCAGCCTAAGCGAAGGAAGAGGTTTTGGATGAGACACCTTATTTCAAGCCTTTGACTCCAAAGCCTGACCTACAGGACAGATGAATGATGTGAATGACGAAACTTGCGTCCATATGTCATTTGGAGGAGACCCAGCGAATGCCTTCGTCCTTTTGGGAAACGACCAGAAGACATCACGAGGCTAGATGCCAAAAGGATTTGGGTATCTGGCTCTCTTCAAACATGTTCATCTCACTGTGCCATGAGAAATCGGCCCAAAAGGCATTCGCTGTTCTACGGAGGATTCAGCGCACCTTCTCTTGTATTACTCGCATGAATTTCCAAATACTATATAGGGTATAAGCCAGATGGCTCTTTGAATATGCCAATTAAACTCTCTACTCAGGACGCAAGAAGGACGTAACCCTCATTGGGTGTGTCCAGCAAGCCGCGACAAAATGGTTGCCGGGTAGGAGCTGCGCTGGCAAGTATACTGCCTTACGCTGAGAACTTAAAAAACCAGTGTCATAACCTTATGCCTTCCATATGAACGACAGCCGTTGAACAACAAGAAAGAACCGATCCGGGAACTTGGGCAAAAGCCTGGATCCTGTGTATCAATCCGTGAATCCATGACCTTGCCTCTAGCCTTTGATCCGCGAGGCAGCGGATCCTTAACGGAGCCGATGGCTCAATAGTCTGTCGTGCCCGGCTGCAGGGTTCAACCTAACCCAAGGCGCAGTTGGTAGTGTATTGCAGTCTCACTGCTGATGCGGTTGCGCACAGAATGGGCTTTAGTAGCAGCATCAGACACTTTGGTGTTAAAAGTATTACAACCGTGCAGTATAATGGCCGGCGGTTGCTGACGATCGGATTGTTATTTGTCATGGAGAACCTTTTCTAACTCAATCTTACTTGAAAGAAGACTGCATCGATCCTTCTATGAAAATCGATATGCTGGTTTCCTCAGGGAAACAACTTATAGCCAGGTGATCAGTCCGAATATTGAGAGCTCGAGGGCATGAGTTGATAAGTCACCAAGTGGCTGTTGATCTGTTCGCCTAGCTTGGTAATTGATTTGCAAACATTTCATCAATATTAGGGGAAACATCTTCAGTGCGATGTTAGCTGGGTAGTCCCTCTACTTTAGCTTGCGTTTATATAGTTTACAAAGAGCATCTTTGAGCTCCAACCTGACTGGCCACTAACAATCAAGCACTTGGATTTTGGTTGTTCCGACCATAATCTGTGTTGCGTTGTGGCTTGCATTTCTCGCTTCCTACAGTCACACCACTGTTGAACTTGTCGTCCATTATTCTCTATTCCGGTTGGTCCATTCGTGATCTCCTTGTTGATTGAATAATTGTGGTGTACCTTCAGTCATTAATATTTTTCTACTTGCGCCATACCCAACTGACGGTTTACATAAGTGAGCTTGATTGTTTGATTTGCAGGTCTTCTCTCAGTGGGGCTTCTGTTATTTTGGGCCCGTTGAATAGAGGTGGACATTCCGCTCCAATTAATTTATTGTTCTGCAACTTACCTGTGGTCATTGGTTATTAACGGTTCTGTTTCATGTCATTACAACGTAGCACCTAAATCGTTTAAGCCGAATGTCAAGCAAGTTGCAGCTAGCATATTACTTGCCGCATTTCGCTTTGTCTTTTCTACCTACTGAATTCACCATCCACTTAGATTCAAATAATTCTGCCGGAAGCTCCGCATGCTTCCCTAATTGTATTTAATGAATTGTGATTCCTACATCAGTTAAAAGTATTAGCTCTTTTGAATAACCAGTTTGGTTCCTTTTAGGGCTTTTACAGCACAACATGTACTATTTGCAGACAGTATTATTTAAAGTAGTCTCGCTTTCGGAAAGACTACAATTGGATGATGAAGCACATGTTAATACAGGTAGAGAAGCGGAGCTGCATGTGGTCTCATAGCACCCTCTACGAATATGAAATCCGATTTTATTTAAATGGGATGGTATCCGCAAACACAGTGCTCATAGCTGTGTCCTATTCTTTAAACTCGCGATTTGCTTACATCTGGATCAAGGAACTATAGAGGCGTCTTCCTTGTACACACGTCTACTCATGGACATATGGTCCTGATAGACTATTCTCTTTACAACTTTTTGTTCTGTTGGTTGCACCACTCAAACAGATAGCCCAAAAGGTTAAAAACTTGATTCAAAATTTATTGCATTATAAGTGCCACGTAAGTGCCACGTTCTACAACTCTCAAAGCACATCCAACCTGGTGGATATCATCCATCTTAACTTTGCAGTTAGGACAACTTTTTTAGTTCACGAGTTACACGCAATCTACTGATCGTTAGGATTTAGTATGAAATCAATTCACTCAGAGGAATGAGTGCTTTCCTGTACTTTAGGATCGATAGAACATCAGCAAAGTGCTGTATGTGACTAGAGTATGGTTCACTCTCCTCACTGAAAGTATTCATGAGAAAATCTTAGATCGTGTGAATCAGATTTAACGCACGTCGTCGTGTGTTCTCCGTCGACCCATACTTCGGTAAGCAAGGCACGTTGTGTGAATCTATTGCTGAGGCGTTTCAGTCACTCGCCAAGCTTGAGTCTAGCAATCCTGATTAAAAGGTGGTCAAGCGACGCGTGTTTTACTCAAGACAAAGAACCGAGTTGTCACGTTTAACTGACCCAGAGTGGCAAACTACCGAAGTGGGTGTCCGGAATGTGACCTTATCCCTGTCAAGTAAATACTGAATCAATACAACTAGCATTCAACAGACTTCTCGCAACGCTTTTAACCTAAGACATGAAATGAAACCCTCTTCACAGTTCAGTTAATTTCATTTCTGAAAGACTTCCCCCTTAGTAGTTTCCAGGCCACACAGGGTCAATTCAGGTAAAACTTGATGCAGGCGGGATGATTTTTTCGCGTAATAAGTTCCAGTGGATTTAAAAAGTGAGCACCAAAACAAAAGAAGTAAGAGGACAACTAAGAAGTTTGATGTAATACCTCTAGCTTTAGGATGTTCCCTAAAAACGTTTAGTTTAAAAGATGTCTAGCTAACCAGAGGTTTCAGAGTTACGGTGGATTGTAAAACGAGCAAGTGAAAATTGCAACGGCATTAGAAAGAGATAAAGTAGACAACAGACACTTAAATGATAACCAGAGAAACTGCTCTATGCTTTTTGACCACAGAGGTTGAAAGTACATCCCTTGACTTGTAACTGCATTTGGAAATATGCTTCATGGATAGTACAGTGAGGCAGTGATAAATTTCGAAATGAAATTGTGAAGAATTGTGAGCTTGGTGGTACAAAAACTTGGATTCAATGTGAAGAAACCCTCTGAGGTTACCTGAGTTGGTTAGTCCCAAGCAATTCGCCCACGGAAGATCTTGGAATACAAACCTCATTAACAGTGAAAAAAGGAAAGTTTGTGAGCGAGTCGTTCTATTGGCCTCCATGAACAACAGGAAGTCTTAGGCCCTGGCACTCCAGGTCACCGAACGGCTGCGATCCTTACTGAGACAACAAAATGTGTATACTAAATACATTCCTTGGGAACATCTATTACGTTCACTTTCGTCTCCCATGAGCGCGAAATTGTCGGCTTATTTTGTTGAATGAAAAATCGAGGATTAAGCTAACATAAATGGAGAAGAACACGCAGGATATATCTCCCTAGAGGATGCCCAAATGTGTTGAAGGAGGTATGCGAATGTGACCTTCCAGGTTTGTGAAACGGTCTGCGAAACCAGAATGGACTTAGATCGGCGTCACACTTATAGAGGTACAGTAAGAAAAGCCTTCCTGTCGATGCTGCCAGAAGCGCAGTCAAGGATGAACAAACGAACCACCATTTATTAAATCACATGGAGAAGCAGTCGAGTGTACTAGAAAAGCGACAACATTCAGCATCCTTAGAAAAACATTCGGGTGATCTGTAGCAAATGTAATTCTTCCTTCTCTCGGTGGAACCCTCAAACAGTTTCCTAAATTCAGATGTGCAGGAGATGGGTTGATAGTTGGACGAAAGTTGGATGTTGGTGAAGTGCTTATCACTCCCCGGCATTCGGCAATTCTTAAAGAAACAGGAAACTAGGCAAACAAAGCGTCAGCCGGTTTACCGATAGTATCAACACCGTCTGTGGGCAAGAGAGGTACCAGGAAATCGAGAACATCTAATTATTCGGCATTACTGGTGGTTTTGACGATATAGTTAGGCCTCCAAAGCAAGCGAGCACAGTGAACTGGTTAATTATGGCAATAAATTTACGACTGAGACTTTTCAGCTCAGCTTTATGCGTTCCGGTCTGGCACCATAAAAAACCACCCAAGTTAATTCACCCCTCGCGATAGCTCTTCTTAACAAGTGAAACCTGAACGTGTGTGCCGTTTCGGGGACTGGTCTGTTTTCATCTATCTCCTTATCCTTTAGGCCTTCATCCGACGTCTCAGTTGAGAAGCCTTTCCTTCTGTTCCCCAAATTCGCACCACACTGGTTTTTACTAGTGATTTGACGGCCGCCAGGATACCACAAAGATTAAAGCAGGAGTGGTATCAATAATCATGCACTACATTTTTCGTGATCCATTTACAACCCTTTGGTAGGCTGCTGCGAAGATCTTATGGGCAAGTTGCAATCGACGCTTCTTTTTCTACCGTTTTTCATACGAATAACTGGGGAATTAGAAGTTGCCGTGTTGTGTACAGGCGTTACACCCTGCTATTTTGGTTGGTAACATTTGAGAATGTGACAGGCACCTGAGTTGTGTTCGCGACGTTCAACTGTTTTTTGTTGGCCGCAATTGAAAGACATACCTGAAGCCCAAGGCTCAGAATGCCCGAACATTAAAGCTGGGCATGAGCTTCCTATGTTTCTGGGCAGTGATCTGCTAGGGTGAGGTTCGCAGCGAATCTCTCACACAGACCCATTTAGGTGATTTAAGGGATTCTTCCGCCCTACTACTGTTGTGTGTAAAACGATTCTTAGTTTCTGTGACTAGCAAGTTAACTGATCCTTCATGAGGGTAGACGCAGTATGACCACATAAAGCAGCTTGTGTATAAAATTTCAACAGATTGCGGCTCAAGTCAAATGTGAATCTTTTTGAAACTGGGTAGTAGCAGTTCGCTGTGTGTTTATTGGGCGCTTTTCAGTTTAAGGATATGCCATGTGTGATACGTTTCCGTCTGGTAGGTAGTTACATGAGTAACAACAGTAGACGGGTTAATTATTTTGGTGTTTGTCGTAAATGAGATTGCGTTGCTGCTTTTTTCGTGATTGTGAACCCTCACAATAGGATTGGTTGGATGTCACTATCTATCCTCCCGTCCCTTATACAGCATAAATGCACGCAATTCACGTTCAAGCTAGTATAACAAATGTTTCACATAGGAACAGCCATGGATGATCGAGCATCAGTTTGCTGGTGTTATTCCGTGGGTTATGGAGAAAACCACGATGAAGCGTTCTTGTTTATCTCATGTCTAATATAGGTATTTTGCAATGTACCAGATTCCAGTACAACATTTTTCCCTACCTAGCATGGTAAAATAGGTTCTTTCGGCCTCGAATGTGCGATTTAGCTATTACCAAAGCGCAACATTCAAGAGGAGTAACGAACTTTAATTTGGCTAGAAACACCGAAGAAATACGTTGAATGAGCCATTCATTGTCACAAAGAAGAATTGACTGTTTGTGACCACTTCATCAAATCTCAAGGTGTAACCACATTTCCGTGTGTCATTTGAACTCATCTACCACGGTGATACCGGGGCAACTGACGTTACTAGGAGCAAGCATTTAGACCCTTAATGTAGACCTTTCAACCTGAACTGTTTTTCAAACCAACTCACCCACCCCTTATATGGCCAAACAGTCCAACGACATCATCATACTGCATTGCTACTTTGTGTTTGCTTTTATTTTCCAAAAACGCATTCTGAAACTTATCTCTGGGTGGTCATTATACTAGAGCATAGTGTCTAGGTAGAGACGTAGCGTGTTCTTTCCAGAAATAGGCACTTAGTTTCTCTCAGGTCGAATGTGTACCGAAATTCCAAATGAAATCAGTCCATTGATGAACAGCATGCAAACAACTGAGTGAACTGACAGGTGGATATGTCTATCTCGCAGCAGAATGACCTAGGAAACGTCATCAGTTAAGTAATGGCTACGCCATCCAGAGTAGGCAAGTTATTTACCGCTTAGTACTGAAGCAAAATTCAGTCGTAGTTCCCTCTGAAAAAAGCCATCAGAATCATACAATCTATCCATTGTCGAGGATGTGTGACGTGTGGCGAGATGCACTTATTTGCAAATCAACTAGTAGTTATTAGGGGACTCAGACGAAAGAAAACTGAATCTATTGTTTATACTGTTCAGCTGGGATTGAGTCTCCCGTTGACACTGAATTAACTTACAAATGGGTTCACTTCGGCCGATGGGTTCAAATTAGCGTTCATGCAAATCATAAGGTGTAAGGAAACTAAGGGACTGTTTCTGCGTCCTGAGTCTCAAGTAGAGCGAAGTTTCTTGTGTGCTGTCGAAGAGTTCCCAGCTACCTAGCTATCACTACGATACGTCAATAATGCAAGTATTTCCTGCCCCCCCCCACAATAGCCTCATCTTCTGCCACATAAGAAGTCGAGCTCAGTGATACCATTTATCGTTCATGACTTTTTAGGAACTTTCACTTATCACAAAGTTACCGCTGAAAAACCGAAGACAAACTGCCTGCGAATCGGCGACGTTGCGCAACGGAGTAGCCAGATTTGTACAATGATCAGTTTTTGTAGGGGCATCGTCAGTCAAAAAAGGGTACTGACAAGTTTGGGGTGAAATACTCATGCTGGTACGCAGGTCTACGTAGTTAGTTCTATGGAACTAAGTACACAATGCCCTTCTCCAAGTAAGTAAACCAGTGAAAGTTCTGACACCTTGCCAAATCAAGAAAGCCGAAGGAAGCAAACTGACGCTTTGGTTCTGATTAGAAAATATCCTCACCACATTCAGTGCGGATAAATCAGAATAAAAGGTGCTATGCGGGTATGTTTTGGCTGCACGGAACTTACTCTCGGTGGTTTAATTGGTTGTTTCAATGTTTCGATTTTGAGATTCCTACAAACGGATGTGGTCCGTTTATGGTGCAAGGTAGGAAAGGCCGATTTGTCCAATGTTGTACCGGTAAACCGAAAACAGATTGAGAAAATGCAATGGAAAACATTCATGGGAATTAACAGAACGAACATCGGATCAAACAAAGCTGGGTCTTCGTTATTATTACCATACCAGAGCATGAGTAGTTTATTCAGAAATATACAGCAATCATGTGCGTACTATGGTACGATAAAAGTTGAGTGCAGGAGTGCAGGGTTGAATGACTTCACTTGGAAAAAGTTACGTCACTGTTAGTTATGGGTACCTACTGGGCCAGCACAAGTTCAATGGTCGCAGTACCCCGCCCCTTACTGCATTAAAGTTGTGGAACTATTTAGACTAACTACTTGACCGATTTACTAGCTGAAGTTGACCTAGATGTATTTTCATCCCGGATCTTGGAAAATTTGTTGCCGACTATCATTACACCAAAACCATGAACCCAAAGGCTAGCGCGGTTAAACCTTTATTAAAAAACTTAGTAGCTGCTTTTTTCTGCATAACTGCTGCATCATTCATGAAAACGCTAACAAAAAAGAAAAAGCGTTCAGCTGTAGCACCCTTCCGGTGCCTAGCTGCCATGCCACCCGAAGGAAGCACGAGGGCTGGGATACTGCCAGGTTGCCCAAGCCTAGACAGGGGAAGTCGAGTGGCGGAGGTCGGATTCGAACCGCGGACCTTCCGGTTAGTAATCCGCGCTCTAACCACCGCTAACAGAAAAAGGAGGTATAAAGAAAACTCAATCCAGAAGTCACACTGTCCTGTTATTTACCGACCAACTTTAGCCTTTGATTCCCCACCAGATGTAGTTGAATTATTTTCAAAATCCAATTGCCTCATAAAACTCAGCACGTGCCTTTTCAGAACAGAAATACTGGCTACCTGCCTTCAAAGACAGATTAACTGTAATGGCTGTTGGTGGCACTGAGATGTCCGACATTAGACTTGACATGTCAACCACTCGTTGTAATTCTAATGTTAAGTCGCCAGAAGCCAGAGGCCCTTTGTTAAGTTGAAACTCTGATTCGATTATCAGAGTCTAAGTGTTTGTATATTGTTATGCGAAACACATTCACGAGGCAAACGTACAACCTTCGCTCTTCCGATGTTGGTCTGAAAAGCAGTGCAGCTTCCGACGCGCAACTAAGCAAATCTTTCGCAAGCCGGTTGTTAAACCGAGGAGGTGTCTTTTGTACAAATTCTCTCCCCCCGTGGACTGGCGTCGTCAACGTGGCAGACATTCAAAGCACTTAACGTAACATGTCACCATCAATCCTTCACCGATTAAAAATCCATATAATCTGCCATAACTATTATTTTATACTGTCAGATGGAAATGTGGGCGCGAGATTTCGTCGATAGCCGCAAAAACATAGATAAAGTCTTTAACACACCACGAGCGGTGTTACCTTATTGCGGAATCTTCAAGACAGTAAATTAGGTAACTAATCAACGTACCTATTCCCATTTTGCTGATTACCTTTGGTTATGATTTTGTACTGTATGAAACCTGTGAGAAACTGTAAGAAACCGTGAATATATGGGAAACCTACGCGGTCTCCGTTCATGTCTTGCTGTTAGGTGTAATTCACCTGTAATGAGAAAGACGATGCGGTCAACTGACAGTTTCATTGATTGTCGATATTCTAATCATGTTATTGAAGCCCAGTTTTCTTAGTACCCTGTGCGTTTTAGAAGTCGCTGAAGGTTTACTCGAGCAGCTCTTATTTAAGTTTTTCTTATGAATGAGAATATGGCCAGTAACAGATAATTCAAGCAAAATCTCTAGTTTCAAATTACTCGTTTCACCAAAGTAGTGAAAGCGAAATGGATGTGTGTGCAAAAAATACTGCCTAAAAACATAAAGCAACCAGCATGAATGCGGTAAGGCTAAATTGGAATCCTTTGTTGCTGTTGATGCGTTTTACGCATGCCAACGCGATGATCCAAGACTCCTTGCCTACCCTTTAGGGATATTTTGACAACTCGGGAAGTGACTTCTATGGCTAACTTCTTGCTCGTAATCTCGGGACAGCTTTCCAAATCGCCGTTTGTAGGATTTTTCCTGGAATTTTACAGACGTCATTTCGAGTTCGGAGAATCTTGTGATAATTTGTTCAAAAGCCTTCCTAACCTGATGCAATATTGATGGTTACGGAAGAATCGCAGCGACGAGGGGGATTATTCACTAAAGAAAAATAGGTAGTCTGTGGATACTCCAGAAGGGGTTCCCCCTGAAATTTTCCACCACATATCCAACACCTTTGAGGATAGCCCAGTAATATACTACTGATTCATTGCGATAATACTACACAATTGTCGTCAGGTTCTTTCACATGGGTCCTTGCAAACTACTGGTACTCATCCACGATAGAATCATAAAAGCGTCTGTATTTTTCTCAATATATACACCCTCAACAAATGAAATACAATTGTTCCATATCCGAAAGCAACATGGTCTACAAGAAAACAAGCAAGCAATTTGAAAATTTGGCCTGAAAACTGAATAAACGGGGAATCAAAGTCACGGTGTTACAGGATATCCCGCGGTTTACTCCGTCTCAGAAGTTCTAAAAACCATCCATTCCACATTGTTGGACATGTTCATAAGGTTCAAACCGACGGTTTTTAAGTCCTCTTGAAAACAACCACTATAAACGTTTGCGATACTGTTAATCTGGTGTGGCAATATTCCCATACAAGTCCTCAGTTCCGTTTGGATCAGAATTCATTCCGACATCCAAGTGGCTCATGATACCAGCCACTTGTGATGCACTGACACGCTTAAATGGTTGCTTCGTCTTGTAAAATATCTCATGCCTTTGCCCAAGTTTGACGCTGAGCAGCAGTACGCAGTGTCCCTATGTTTGATATCAACCAGCCCTCTTCTCACGGCCAATCTGATTCACCTTTGAGGTGGTTGGAAGAACCATGATACAGGCACATAAACATTAGCGAGTATTTTCTTATGTCTGGCTGGAGTTTTGCCTGCCGTTCTGGGCCAGGTTTCGGTTGTTTATGTTTGAAAGGACCGTTGGAGGGGCACCTTAGGTGGACATGGTTCTCAGGTTATCTCTATCGCTTGAAGATCCCTTGATCATTGTTCTTGTTGATGTGAGGCTTTTTCACACAGTGTTCCAACCCTTACAATATCTTTAGGTGGCAACTCCTATTATTTTCATGGTTCTCAAGCATATGGCTGTAGAGAATCATGATGACAATGATTAAACTATGCGTAGTTTTATTGCACTAAGATTATCACATCTGAATTCAACACTACCACATTCATTTGTGTGCAAAGAAAGCACATGACGTTGTACAATGAAACCGATCAACGATGAATCTATCAGTGAGGAACATAAGACTCTTGGTTTTGTCATGGACTTGGTGTTAAAAATCACATAAGAATAGGGAACAATGCCGTGAACCGGACAAGGAAGTCAGAAGAGTTTCACAAGGTCAAAACTAGTTCAAAATGAACACTGCGCTACTGGTGCTTACAAATTTGCCCCGTTATCAATTGCAGCTGGCGAATTTGTATGTGGATGAGTTCATTTTATAAACTGTCTGATGCAACTTTGCGATTTTACAAAACAACATGAAGGGTCAGTGATTAGTTACCATACTCCAAGCGTATTTATCTTTTCTTCAGACTAGTGCTCTCGTTTGGTTGAGTCAGTGATTGTTACCGTTTCCTGTAGAGGAAAATGTTGGTAGCTGATGTAGCGTACATGGTCGTTGGCTTGTTCACTGAGCTGGGCTGCATTGGTGGTTGTGTACTGCCACCAACCCATCGCTACGCACCACCGCGCTCCCAACCAACGCACTGATGATATCACCTCGACTAGTGATGAAAAGTTTGCAAGAAAATCGCCCAACTCAGCGAACAAGCGAACACCTAGCAGGTGGGAATACAAATACTAGCTGTTCTGGGTTTTTTGACAGAATGACCTAGAATGAGAATATCCTTGATCGATTAGTCTTGTTTTTCCCTGCTCTTTATGCCCACTTTTATGTTGATGCTTGTACAGTTGCCTTCACTATCCTGGCTATCAGTACACCATTGTCTGGGTCCTCTTTCTGTGCTAACCAAGTATCGTACTGAAGCTCATTTGCATTCGTGAACGTTTTCGTCCAATGTGAAAGGTGTTTCCGCAGCTCAGGCATCGGTTCACTTGCTGCTTGGATTCATGTTTGATGTAGTAATCATTCGACGGGCTGCATAGCGCTAGTGCTATATGAAATGGATGTGAGTATAGTAGTTCGTAGTTATTACCGCCATTTTTGAGGGATTGTTTTCTCCCTGTCGATCCTGATTTAAACTCATGGATGTCCACTGTCTTGGGATGAAAGACCTTTCTAAATCATTCCCCGTTCCATATTCTGCTATGCGTCTCTGTAAATGTAGATAAGCGTCTGCCCGATTGGCAGAACCCTCCTTTTAAGAAAACTTGAGTTGGTAGACGCCTGGTGAATGCAAGTTGATCCACCACTCAAAAGTTTCAATTTCTAGAACACAACTGGGTGTTTCGATCCAAAAGTTGACGCTTTAATTTTCAGTTTGTCCATTTGCTCAGGTTTCCGGCACAAACTTCCAGGGTGTTTTTCCAGGGTATACAGGCGGTGGATCTTCCGGGAGTGCGCATAACTTTCGATCATATAACTCAACTCAATTTGTTCGGGTGGATTCAATGAGTGTGCGCGGGCTTATATCTTTAAGAAAAATGCAAGCGGCATTTAGCACACATGCAGTTAGTTAATTGTCGCTTTCAGGACAGCACATTGCGGAGAGGAAAGTCTAGTTCAAAGCATCCTCTCCATTTTACTTCATGTTTTAGGTCAGCTTCGTGTGTGTTTCGCATCAAAGAGCAATCATTTTCCACTATACCGATTACGCATAATGTATTCAGAGGGATTTGTAATTTATGAAGTTCTGTCTTGTTCCTTCGTCTCCCTGGGAAGTCATCTAATTGTTAGACGGGGTATGGTTTCGAAATGAATTCACTTAGTAATAAAATAACTTGCGGTAAAGTGGCGCAGAGATTAATTGAACCGTGCTAATTGGGTTAGGATGAATATTGCACAAGAGATTTGCGTACCACTAACGGCTTAGTTCTGAGCACTTGCAAGTGCCGTTTGGGCCCCAGATGGGACTACCTGGTCAGTCTTTGTTGGATGTTCTCCTGTTTATCGCACAATCATTACTGAAAGAAACTTATCACGAGTCCTAAGGGTTCCTATCGTGTTTATTTGGCTGGTAGTATAGTAAACCTAGTACGCTGTGCTGACGTTATTTCGGTCGCGCCAAAAGGATTTGTGGGACGAAGAGTCTAAATCGCGCATACAATGCGCATCCTGACTCTCGGCGGAGAGCCTTGTGATGCGAAGTGTGTTCTGACAGTGGAAATCTAGAAGTGAAGAAGTCGGATCTCTTAAGCGAGTGTCTCATGCTATTCAGATACCTTCTGAAAAGGAACCAATTTGTTTTGCACTGATTCTTCTCACGAGTATCCGTGGTCCAGTGAAAATGTTGAGATCATATGACGCACCTGTCACTTTTCGAAAAAGATTGTCAGTACATACCTTAAGACTTCCAGTGCAGTACAGCATACGCTAAGCTGAACAGAAGAGCATAGGGGTGAGCGAACGCATTCTCAGGTTAATAGGCTCATCCCTCTTGGTATGATGTAAGTATGCTTTGTAAACGGCATCGCATACAATACCTCTTAGCTAAAACAGACCCGGAATGAAAGTCTATCCACAAAACTCATCAGTCACGTAGCCTGAGTATGATGGAGATTATGTGAAACTGATCGATCAAGTGCCACAAAACGACATCCAGTGTGCTGACTGGCAAAAACGAGTTAGACTGCAAAAATACGACGCTGAACAGTTTCCGTGAATGTTTTGACTATGGAGTTGAAGTGTAACTTTGAACCATTTTGGAGCAGGATGCGAAACCAATGACATCTTGATGTGGGTCTGTTCTACAATACGCTCACAAGAGCAAACAGTCGTTTAGTAAAACATCGTTTGGCACAAATCGGAACTCTAAGGAAAGGACATTATGATGCATGAATTTCTACTAGAGTAGTTTCTGTGCATGAAATACGCAGAGGATTCGGTCCCGTTTAAACCCGAGACGTGAAAACACAGTTTTAGCCGCTACATAAGCCAGCAAACTATTCAAGTCCACCAGGCTGAAACCCCTTGTCACAATCTGCGAACAAGTCTGCTTACGATGACTATATTCAAATAAAAATCTACTCTAATATTGATTCAATTCGTCACCGTTGAATGGTCTGCTATTGTGTCGGTGAGGATGTGATCAGGTCCATTCGAACTCGAAAGACTGTTGAGGCAAATATCGAGGACAGGCACAGCTCAGTTGACAATTCTAGAAAAGTTAAACATGTGTCCCCACATCACGCTCTTGTTAACAGTTTTCCTTTGGTCTTGATTCTATTGTTCCAGTCAGTCAAAGTTATAGTGTGAGTATTAGTCTCAACTTTTACTACTATCAGGAATCGCCAAAGGCGCACACCCCCTAGAGGAAGTAGAACTTCGAACACAACAACAAGTCGAGCATGCGACCTCTGTGTCACCAGCTGCGCATGCATGAACAGTTCCGTCACAAAATAATTACAGCGCCCTCTACCCACATGTGACCGAAAAAGGCTTTCGGGTAGGTTATATGCATCTTTAGAAGTGATAAGAGGCGATCCAGTCGCTCTCTCTACTCTAGATAATTACTTGGTTGAACGTTATGAAATGATCATTCAAGTGCTTCAATCCGCCACCGGTGGAGTGATCGTCTCGGCATTGGGCCTCCGCGATGCACAGCCGGTATAAATACACGTTAATCTTTTATCCCACTGCTTCCGGAGTTAAACAGATGCGGTGACTGTGATGCATCCGCGGGGGATTGACCGAGGGATCCTCCGAAAGTCACATACAACTCCGTCTAGTGAGAGCGACCCCAGAATATACAAGAGAGGAAAACGGATATTGAGGATAGGGTGAGTTTGGCGATTGAGAACACAATGATCTAAACTACCCCGGTGACAGAAAAGAAGACCAAGGATGTGGATAGTGTCGCCGTTACGATCAAGAACTTGGATTGAAAAGCAGATAAGTTGAGCTGGGAAGTTGGTGATGCAATAATTGGCTGCATCTGTGTTTAAAAAAAAATTGAGAACCATTCGTCACCGAGTAAACTGCATCGCCGACAATGCAAACCTGGTCGAATTGAAACAACTGTTCACACTTTTCGCAGGATAAAGGGCGCTAGAGGAAGCATTCGCAGACAAATGAACGTAGCAAAAATGGGCATTGCTTCAGAGACCTCAGTGTCAGCGAAAACAAATGAAGAGCAGTAGTCCAGGTGTCCACAGCAAGAAGTTGATAAAAAGGTGATGAAAGATGGTCGTAGGCGAACACTCCAACTTTAAAACGGAACCAATGAAAAAACGTTCGCTCGGAAGTCACTGGATTCGGGGATCTGGGATCCACTAGGTAGCAAATAGGTGTGATGAAGGATAAGAGTTGGCAGACAGTGTACCTTTGAAATTCCTTGAAAGAACAGAATCGGGTGACCTTTTTAATTCACGCTTTATGACTGCATGGGTGAAAGACCGTCAATTACTGGCTTGAAATGACGAACCTCATAAGGTTCCTGGATTTTTCCTCTGTCCGCCACGCAATTGACGCACCTTTGATAACCTGCGGTAAGCTCAGTCTCCCTTTTAAACACCGAAGGAAATTTTCGTCGAAGTGCACCATGATTTACTGAAAAAGTAGACCAGCTATAATGCTACTATACCTGAAGCCGAGTTTGAAATCCCATACGTAGATGACAGAGCGACTGCTGGTTACGGAAGACTTCTGTATAAATATCATAAAAGTCCCTACTGAGAGCTGCATGAAAGTCCTACCTTTCCAGGTTACAGGAATACCATGAAATCGTTTATGAGCGCTGAATTGCCGTGCGATCCAACCAGCCGAAATATGAACCCACCACACTAATGCAGGCATGTCCCCTGGAACAAAGTATGTGGGAAAGTATCCCAGGCGACGCTTTCTGACAATTTACACAGCCATAACTCCCTACCTCTCCGGTACAACTGTGATGCATGAAATGATCTCAATCAGTGATATCACACAAAAGTGGTCCTCAAACGGGTGAACGCTTCCCCACAGGGACGAATGATGCAAGGCAAAATGGAGACTTAGAATCTGAAGACATCTCGGAAGTCTGTATGGGGAAAACATTTCACCTTGCTTTCAGCATACAAGTAAAAACTTGTTGGTGTAGCCGCATTTTCCGGAAACTACCATTTGGGTTTTCTTTGCGTGGTCTGTCTTCCAGTTGGTGTTCGTGAGCTGCAAACCGCACCATTTGAGCTTATACCACACGTTCAGCCCTAAACAAGCAATCGGGTTCAAGACATCCTCAAGTCGAAACGCTAACGGGTGCCCGAAAATTCTCATCTCCCTTCGTGTCGCAAGTGTGTGCAGATTGTCAGTCAAAAATACAGTGCCCAAACGGGGTACACTGACGAGGGATCGATTGAGATTTAGGCTGAACCTAAAACGTAGTAAGGGATCATAGCCCGAAAACGGCTTGCTTGGATTGTAATTTGGGTAAAGTTGCTTTTATTACACTACATCAGTCTGTTCGGCACTTCAGGTCTTTGCTCTTAACCATTGTATGGTGGTTTACACCACCTGGCGGACTTACTCTATACTGTATCGAGGCTATAGTCGTCAAGTCTGATGAAGGTAAACCTGTTTGGGTCAACCTATCAAATACATGCACTGTTGTGTACCGCCCTACCGATTGCCAATTTGCTCATGAGAACGTCGTGTGAGAACGTTGTATCTTACCCAAACCTTGTCCAGAGTTGCGCACAAACTGAATACAAATGGTAGGATGAGTTGGGCATTGGCATCCTTAACACCCTTGTTTTTACAGTACAGCTTCTGTCCACATTCCCGCAAATTGGGTTGCGCATCTTCATTGTATGCGTCAGCAAAGGCGAAGCGAAAACGGGGAACAGTGTTCCTAGTTGCCATCGTCTTCTCGCCATCTGATTCATTTATGACACCGGGTTCTGAAACTGGGTTCTTTGGCTTCAAAAGACCAAATCGGTCGTTGAATATGAGTGCACAAAGAAGGGAATTTCAGATCACACAATTATGTTTGCATCGATCATTCTGAAGCACAAATGCATTTTAAAGTTTGGTTTTACCAACAACTTTAAAAGGAAATTTGCAAGACATTCAGATACAATAAAAGAGCATGACCACAAAAGCTTTATGTACGACATGGAGATCTTTTAAGGAATGCAGTTGGGATGTAACGTGAGTATGCCAGGAATTGGAGCAAAGGGTGAATTATGCTTTGACAATCGTGTCACTGGAAAGAACTTCAGATCACATAAACGATTACACAAGCCGTGGATAACCCTTACGTTCCAAAGAACGTGGAAATTGCGCCCAAAAACGAACTGTCATAGTCGGATTAATTAAATGGTCATTGACATCAAAAATTAAATCGCGCAATGGACCGGCCCAAACTGATACATATTCCACCTAACTTGATTGGTCGTTGCTCAGAGATCAGATATTCGCAGGTAAAAATGTTATTCTTTTAATCAATAGTAGTCTCGTGTCGTACAGGTGGCATGTCTCCAAAGAAACGATGGGGAAAACTGAGAAGCCCAGAATAAATACTGGCTTCGAAAACGCTTCTTCCTGTGCAACTAAAGGATTTGGGTCAGACAATTCAAGTCGGACATTTAGCTGAAGCACGGATAGGTATGTATCAAAATGGATGCGCACAACTGTGTGCTCCTACTTCACACAGATATTTAATGAAGTTTAATGAAATTTATGACTGAGAATACTCCCCATCCTCAGGATATTTGAGAAATGGAAACACCAACATTACTGTTTCAGTCACAACTTGATTTTGTTTGCACATTGATGGGCTGTGATTCGGATATGACCAATCCTTCTTGATCATCCTTCAGAAGTTACACTTGTCCAAAAGATCCGGTCACATCCAGAATAGAAGACCGGCTGTTGGGATAGAAGGGCACCAAGGAAGCGATTCACATCAGCCGCATTAGAGAAACCGTTGCCACCAGCAGGGATGTTGAGGAGTCGCAGTCCTGAAGCACGGTAATGAAATCCACTGTCTTCTACGAAATGAGTCGCCGAATAGGCTATTTACAAAGATCTTCGATACCGTTCACAGTTGCAGTCACAGCATGCACCGGCGAACTAAGCGATCTGGCACATTTGGAAAGGGTTTTGATGACTGTGTTCGGAATCGGTGCCAGATCTGAATCGAACTTTGAAGATGTTCGTGAGACTGCACAACATCATCACCCTATCACTTGATAAGAGGTACTTATTTGTCACTCTTTTTTTATCCTAAAACCTCCGCAGCACTTTGAGACGTCCACCACCAATAGACTGTCTATGATTAATGAGAACCTCAACCATCTGTTCACAAAAATTGCACCAATTTTAATCCCCAGTTAGCCGTTTCCTGAAAATTTTGATGTAATCAGGAAGAAACCGAATTCCCCTTTGGGCACAGAACCCCTTCGGAACCAGCTTCCATACAGTGTCCCACATTCAAATAAATAAACACGTGGATGAACAAAAACTCAGACATCATTGAAGGACTTACGTCCCAGCTACAGTGTGCACATCTACTTGCCAAGGCTGTTCATCTGTAATAAGGCCCACCAAACACAATGAGTTCACACAGGGCCCAGTGAATGGTGCACACCCACGTGACATTTAAAATCCAGGTGCGTTCGGTCTGCCTAGTTAGTACTATCGATTTTCATAGTCTGACCATTTTATTTCAACCGTGCCAAACGTGCTCCGGTGCTTTTTCGCTGTGCTGGAAAAAATATTTCCAAGCAAACAAACTATTCGGAAGGACAAAGGTGCACTTTTCGGATGGCAAGCCACAACTCTGTGAGAGGAGAACAGGGGTAGTTTTTACAAAACAAAACGAACAGAATACCGTGAAATAAAAGACTAGGTTAGTGAACAGCCGCTGACTTTCAAGTTCAAACAGGCAGAACAAGTTCGTAGTAAATTTATTTCCTTCAAAGAGAGCTGTTTTACATAGTTCGTACACACTAAATGACACCGGCCAATTTTGAATGATCGATTTTGGCGAAACGTTTTAACACTGAGGGGTGCGCCATGCCAAACAAATATACTTGTCGTATTTGAACTGGATCGATAGGAATGGTTCGTGCGAGAAATGCATCCAATAAGACCCAGTCAGTACTACACACTGCCACACGCGCCCGTATTGGTTGTCAAGGAATGCTTTGAATTCTTTGGCCACAATTTTCATTCCATTGGAATCCGTGCCGTGAGTTTTGCATAGATCCATAAACTTTTCGGTGATCTCATATTGTTTTTGAGATGACATGGTTGTCGAAACAATTTGAATGGCGCCGGAAAGAGGTTTGCCAGCGTTTTCTCGATCCTGCTTGCGCTGTTTTCTTTCGGCAGTTCTGCAACAAGAAAAAGGTGTGGTAGAACAACGTGAGCGCATCAGTGTTCAAAACATCTCAGTTATTTTTCGAAAAAGTTTGGTGACAATCGGAAGATTTATTGCAGGGTAACGTTTCGCTCTTGACACAAAAGCTTCGTCAGGTCAAGTGACTGGGTTCCGAGGTTGGTCGAGATTTAAGGCGGAAGGAGAACCAATCAACTAAGTCAAGCTAAATCGCTGTTGGGTGTCGGCCGAGGGATTTTAGTGTGTTAGAGTGGTTGAACAAGCGTTGGGTCGGTGGGGAACCTACATGTGTTTGGGTCCAGCCTAGGGTCTAGTTCTTCTGGTTCGGTTCATTTGATGGTTCCTCTTGAACTTCGTTTGAACCTTCTGTCAGTCTGTGTAGGTGAGCTAGTGCTAGGAAAGTTGTGATATTTCTATTTCACGTATCGGATCACCTAGGAAAGTTTTTATGACTTATTTCACACGGGTGTCGGTAACATGACTTCTCAATCCTGCTGATAGTAGATAAACTTAGCACAGGAAAGTGAATTTGAAGTGCACTCACGAACTTGCTCACTCATGAAAAACCGCTCAATCTCGATCCTAAGGTTCATTTTTCCCCTGTTATTGTGACGTGTCCAGTCCAGGGATGATTTATCAAATATACGACAGTTTACTCAAACCCGATTTGACATAACGCCTAAACCTGTTCGGTGCAAATGGGGGGTTCAAGTGAAATTCACCTGGATCTCTCACTTATAATATTTTCCCTAGAGAAACAATGCGTGGGCAATCCCATGTTCCAACTGGATCGATATCAAGATTTCATAATATTTCACCCTTATGATCGATGAAAACCCCAAAGTCCACCACGGATTGCACACTTTTTGAAGCACATTGAATAGGCCTAGCCTCAGAATCCTTCCACCTGTTGCCACGTACATATTAGGAGAATAGACCTACCTGATGAGCTCCTTATGAGTAGTGTAAGGCTTCATTTACTTACGGAAATAATATTGCGGGAATGATGTTCTCAAAGAGGAGCGATTTTTTATTGCGATCCGATTTCAGGTGTCTCATAGGGAAAGATTCCATGCCGGGTAAACATGATAGACAAATGAGCTTGTCGGCGTGTTTGAATTGTACGCAAGAATAACTCATTCCCCTGGATTACCGAAATATCTCAATTGACGTGAATAACCCAAATTCATGAGCGATTCGGGGGGCGAAATCATCAATATTCCTAACATTAGCTAGACTGAAAACAGACAACTGGCAACAAACTAAGGTTCAAAATAAACGCAAAAACTCACATCTCATCGACCCTTAGTCCAAGGCCACGGCAAAATTCCGCCAATGTGATTTTATTATCATCATTTTTGTCGAATCGGTTAATGAAGTCCTTTGGTAAAGAGGAACATGCAGCGAGATGGTTAGTCAATTCATCTTAATACGATTGACAGTCTAAAGAAGAAGGTACGGTTAACTATTTCTTTCTCAAAAGATACGGTAGTTTGTAGCTATAAACTTACATCAATTTTATCCCGAGGTAGATTCTTGCTTTCATAGAACTGCTCTAATTCTTTACAGTCCACGACGCCATCCTCGTTCTTGTCCATCTCCAAAAACCAGTCAATCATTGATTCAATGCCTTCCATTTGTAGTTTTCTACTGATCTGCTGTGGCGTCACTGGTCTCAGCACGTCTACCGAGTGTACTTCATCTTGCGGTGTAAGTTTATATTTGTGGTTTTATGATCTTTCACGGAAGTCTGATTGGTTGTGTGGATTCCTCTGTGTGCGGCGTCAGAGTGCGGTTTGATATTCATAGGCACGATGACTGTGGTGCCGGTGAAAGGTTCACTTGTGCTGTGGCGTGCGAATGTGCTCGACAAACAAAATTGACTAAGCAAATCCACATGTGCAGTCACTTCCCTGATCAAGGGAAACACATTGCGATCTCAACCAGTAAAACTATTGCCATAATCACATCACAATAAGCTAATCCAGGACTGAAGATATTCGCATGTGAACAACTAGACTTGGATATGCAACTTTTCAAAAACACTTCAATAATGTATGTTTTTTAGGAAGACACATGTCATTCTATCACAAATAAGGCGAAAAAGACTGTAGACAGGTGAAGAAAATGTCAACAGAAGCTTCGAAACAGCATCAAAAAACTGGAGACAGGATAATAAGTGGACCAGGGAAGAACTCTCCACTGGGAATAAGGCTTCTCTCGCCTACGTAACTTCTTTTCAAGGAATAAATAATTTCGTTTTGAAGTGTGGTTCCAGACGCTGGATTCAGCTCAAATAACGATAAGTAATTGATCGAGGCGGTTTACCGTTGCTGGTCGCACAGTGTGCTTGGTTTTTCATCCACATATCGACTAATTCTCTCTATATATATCTTTCAACAAGTAGCTGAATGCCCAAACCCAATAAAAATAACTGGGCGACCGACGGTCTGCGTGAATAATTCGGTGTTTGATTGTATGCTTACAGGAGAAACTGCGTTTTAGCACGCTGAAGCAGCCAAGAAGCAAGGGCCTCACTAGAATGGCATCAGCGAAGTTCCCATCATAAAACCAGGACAACCCAACGAGTGCTCACCGAGCGTTGACCAACGGTCAAGTGAGCATCGACCAATCAGAATAAAGGATGACAAACCGACCGATAGAATCGCCTAGCGAGACAGCTAACCACAGTCGAAGGTTAGCCCGGTTAGCTAAGCACCCACACTGCCACACAAGTAACCATTGATGCACCGCTACGCTCCAGGTCCTAACAACGCACCGATGCTGTCACCATCAAAATGCCCAGCTCAGCGAACAACCTAGCGATCATCTATGCTACCTGAATTACCGATATTCGCCTTATTAATTTGTAAGAAAGATACTAAACTTCAGTCTTACAAAATGACCCGTGGAATGCGCATATCAATCGCCCCATTAACCTTACCCTTAGCTAAACTTACGTCACTTATCGGGAAAGGCAACCTACGAACCAAAAACAGTTCTTTCGAACAGTGTCGTGTGTGAAAATTCTCCTGGGATGCGACTAACCTTACCTGAACAAAAAAGTTGAAATTACCTGCAAAATACTCAAAGAAATTGCTCACTTCAAGACTGATAAAAAGCAACAGTCTCGCGGCGAACAGACCGTCTCATAGTATATACCTTTCCGATAGACTTGTAGTTCACGTTGAAGTCACCTTACGTGAGTGTGACTGGAAAATCGCCAGATGTATGTGAGCTATCGTCAAACCAGTTTTCTCCGGAATCGTCTCAAAATAAACTGCACTTATAACACAAATATTTTCACGAACGACGTGCATCGTCATTCCGCACGCACCATATTGTACGTTACCGATAAACCAATATATTCTGCCCAATCGGGTCACGGAATTTGAAGCTATCGGTAGATCCACCTTGTGTAGGCAGTTTAGAATGGTGCTCCAAAACGTAGTGGCGTACAGACAGGAAAGAAACATTTTCTAAGCAGGGACAGTCAAAGGCCTGCCGTGAAAGGAAACCACCACAACACTACTGGATAACAACGAGTGAAATAAATCGAAATCGTTCAACTGTAGCACCCTTTCGGTGCCTAACTGCCATGCCGCCCGAAGGTTGCACGAGAGCCGGGATACTACCAAGTTGTCCATGCCTAGACAGGGAAAGTCGAAAGGCAGAGGTCGGGTTCGAACCAGAGGCCTTCCGGTCAGTAAATTTGCGCTCTAACCCCCTGGACCATCTCGCCCCGCCCCGAACGCATGAACTAATGAAACTTGACAGAGCAGACCGTATTTATATCAAACAGTTGTCAACGATGCGACAATATGCAGGTCAACTGAATATGATCCAAATTCAATCGAGTCAAGAAGACACTAAGCGAAATAGAAATAATCGAGGTTCATGCAAAACGAAACTAGATTAGGCTAGCACTAAAATTTCACAGATTACTGAAGGTGCGCCAAGAAGGAGCACCAGCTTTACGGGTTGTTTCACTTTTATGAACTTCATCGTACAACTTGGCGAGAAATCAATGGAGAAGATAGGGAACACTGATTTACAGATCAGAATAGATGCCAAACACTCAAAAATGTAGCGAGCTGCAGAATATCAAGACTACAGAGGCCTGAACTGTTCCCTCTTGTGAAGCCCCAGCTCTGTTCGCCTCAATACAGCGCAGAATTGCGATTAAGACAATAATGATACTACTTCAGAACGATCCAAACACAACAGACGACATGAATCTCGAAGGCAATTACAAGCCATTCAACGTTTTCAGAGGTACACACTTAAGCACTGGAGGGCACAAATCAACAGCTGAACGGATCTCTGATGCGACCTCCAGTATCGGGATTTACCGCTAAAGCAGTGGTGCGAAACTGGAGTGTATGTTGCTGCTAACGATAAATCGGAAGCTATGGATTCGTTGCTCGGACGATTCAGCAGAAAATACACGCGAATCACTCAGTTGCGCGTACAAAGGCATCAGATTATTCGATGAAGTGAGAAGGAATCTAGATGGGACGCTGGAAACTCGTACAACAACGCGGCAACAACCACAGAAAAGAGAAGGGCATTCAAGCTCCACTCAGGAGAATTAATGCAGAGTGCAGGGCTGAAAACTACTTAAAAAACACATTTCAGAAATTTCATTGGGCGAAGTCTGAAGAGGACGCATTAAAATTCCAGGCATCGTCAAAATCCACCAACTCAGTGGATATGAAGGACGCATCTAAACGCGCAGCAAGAGGAATCACAACAGTTCATAATTCGACCTCTAAATTGTGCATGCTAAAGACTGAGAAAGAGGTGAAAAAGTGGGGAGAAAGAAGTAATGCACTCCAATGACTGCATCAGTTGTGACAAGTTCCACTTGAAATACAAAAGCATGTGCACAGGGGAGGAAAGATAATGTGGTGATCAGAAGATAGGATTCGTCAAATTCGGCCACTCTGTATATGGACCCAGAAACCTATAAGTTCATTTTGTAAAATATGGGAATCTTGGAAAACGGAAGTACCGCACACAAGAAATTTCTTGGACTGTCTACCAGAGTTTTATTAATCAAACTTTTCAGCTGAAAAGACTCCCCGCCTGACTGCGTGCAAAGAGCGGGAAAATCAACCGAATATTCTAACAAATAATCTTTAGAACCACGTCAATGAAAGTCAAGCCGACCATCGGACACGAGCCGAAGGAGACAAGCTCAAAAGGACGTGGACGCCAACCAATCAAAAAAACAGACTCACGGCAAATGAGTGTATTTCTCGAAAACAGTGCAATTCGGGTTCAAGTAGATCACAAAGTTGACGGAAACTCGGGGACTGCGCCTACCTGATGAGCCCCAAGAATGGCGAAACCGGTTGTCGGTTGTCGAAGAGTTTTCAGCAACCTTATGGGTAGTTTCCTTTAGGAAAAGAAGACTCACGGCTCCAACACCCAAATATAACTGGAAATTTGAACTGACTGAGAACAGGAATGTAAACATATACGCGCAATTACTCAAGGCCTTTTCACTGACGCTCCACACCGCTACACACAATTCGAAAGCTTATGAAAGTGAACAGGAACTTATACGTTTTCAGTGGTGGAAACCGGGTTCGCTGCTAGCTGTTTGCAGGTTGGATTTTCCGAAAAAAAAACATCAAACAGACAGCCACTCTGGACAGTAAATTCCTCTCCGTGACGAATGTCCAGCTAAGCGAGTAAACCAGAAAAAACGTCGTTTCCAAATATCCTCATTAGTGACGCGGTAAAAAAAAAGTAGTGAGAAACAGATACACGCTCCTGAGACCTATCGTACTGTACAATTCAATCACATGGAAGAAAATTTAGGTGTAGCCGCGTATGCCGAAGGACTGCTTAGGATGTGCAACAAAATTTGCCCCTTACCTGAAACGAATTTTCCGAATCCCCTGAAGAGCTTGGATCGTTAACTCTACAGCACCTAAAAGAACCAGAAGTCCAACAAACCTTCCTACAAAATGCTGCAGTTAACTAGCGCGTTATTAAATTAGTTACTAGCTAGTTGAATCAGCCGGATCAATGGCATTCACTTCGAATTTTGATGGGAATTTTCCGGCGTAATAAAGAAACCATTCACCTCGAAGGATCCCAAGTCATCCTTGCCACCTTATGCGGCGTGATACCTTTAAGATGGATGTCTGAGCGGGAAATTTTCGAGGTCTTTCTGCCACATAAACTCATTCGATGAGACTTGTCAGAGCTTAGGGCCATGCCAGCATTCAGAGGGTGCACTAGGGAAAGCTACAAAACGGTTACATTGAAGAGATCACGAGAAGTAGTCTAAAACAGTTAGCAGTTACATGTAAAAGTCACCACTGTGGCCTGCGTTTGGCATTACCCAGATCCTTTTTCGGATAAAACCGAGGAGACGAAGGGAAGCAAGTCAAAAGAGTATTCGCATCCTATGGTTTTATGAGAACTACACAAGAGACAAAAAGTAATTATGGAGTTGCTGAATCAACAGATAAATAAACGGGCTTTCTTCGCTCCATACTTAATAGCCTGTTTTAGTAGATTTTAAGCTGCTTCTTTCAACAGATACCGGTGAGCTTTGATTCGAGTGCACTGCGTACCACGGAAAACATAATAAATGAGCTACATCAAAGAGACTGGTATCCGGTGGGTGACACGTAATTAGTTATCGCAACATTTCAAAACATTTGTGTTCATTTTATTTCCGGTAGACTCTAATCAAACACTTGTGTTCTCCAGATTGGAAGTGGTCACGTTCGGTCAAGCAGCAGACCGGGTGTGAGTAAACACGAGTGATTTGGTGATTTTGTTGTGGATTTTCAGCTTTCCTGCAATTTCGAGCCTCCAGAGATTTCGTAAGCTACGCCTTGGTTTATAGACATCGTTTTGTTCCAGTTACTGTTAATGGCTACTGATCAAGGATTAGAATTTTAAAAA